CCTTTACAGTATATCCATTCTTCCCACCATGGCAAAAGTCTATAATATCTGAAAAAAATAATATTTTATATAAAAATTAAACTTATTAAACATTGCGTTGAATATAAGATGAAAAAAACAGTAACATTAAGAAAAATTACTTATTTGTTTTCAGCTTTTGAATATGCTCTAACAATCTATCATGAGCTACCCTCTGACACTCCGATTCACCGAGAATACATGCCCATTTAATGCCTTCTTGCCTTAAACATTTAGTAAGATCATTTTCCTTAGAATCTTCTTCGTAATTTATCTTCCAAAATAGAAAGCGCAACATTGTTGTTATTTTGTACTAAAAATTATTAAATATTATATATTATATATAGATTTATTATTATATATGAAAATTTGCGTATTTATATTATGATGCATACGTATATATATAAATTTTAAAAAATGTTCAATAATTTAAAAGTGAAATATCACGTTATACAATTAGCTTTTAATAAAAGTTTTGACAAATATTGTATTAAGTACGTTTAATTAAAACATGGACTATCGTCTAGTCGTTGTTCCTTCGAAAGTCTCAATCTACGTTTCAATTAAACATATAATTTTAAATTTAAATTTTATTAGAAAATCACACATTAAAACATACGAAAGATAAGTATTCATAAATATATAACGTATATTTAACATTTGCAGTATAAAAATGAAACAAAAACTTTTCCCAAATTTTCTATTTTTAGTTTAAATAAAATTATAAGCAAACATAATTGAATTCTTTTAGCTATATATATTTAAGTTGCTTGAAGAATATGACATGAAATAAATTAAAAACTCTTGTATTGATCAAATCTAATGCTATTTACCTTAATATTTTGGACTTCTTCATTTGGAAGTGGAAAAACGCTCGACATGTATTCAAGAGCTTTAATCATAGGATACCAAGCTATATAATTTGTCTCTCGTGCAAGATAGCTTATTAATTCCCAGAATATAGAAGGATCGAGTTGCTGCTCTACCATAAAATAAAATGCGTCGTCGATAATTTTAGCACGATTGAGAACATGTATTTTCGTAAATTCTTTAGAGTTCAAATATTTTGCAATTTTTTGCCAGTTTTCGGGATCATAATTAACGCGATAGTATCCTGTAATAAATAATTTTTTTATATATTATTAAATTTTCATCTAATTGGGAATTTATTAAAAAATATTTATGACTATCTGCATTTTACATATTAAGAGTAATTTCGAGTATTAAATATGTAGAATTAAGCTATATAAGTGATTGGGAATCAATTTAAACTGATCTAAGTTTAAATAATAATTAAAAAATATGCAGAATTGAATTTATCTCATGTTCATCGATACAGTATAGAATACTTCATACAATATTTATTGAAATATTATAGGTATCCAGACAAGATTTTCCTCAAATATATCGTAATTTTCTATTGTTATATTCGTACTGTTTTTATAATAATCTCGCGTTATTTTCAACATTGGATAATCCATACTGGTCCAATTATATATCATCATTTTTAAAGAAGGCATGTGTTTTTTAATATAGGGATCATCATGTGATTCATCTACAGTAGTTTGCATAACGGCCCAGAAATCATCGGGAGTTGTCGAATTAAGCGCACTATATTTTTTAAATTTTGACATTATTAACACAGTAAAAATTATACTAATTATAAATTGTACATCCAAAAATATCAAAGTATTATTTAATTTATACATGTTGTAGAACTTACATATCAATTTATACATGTTATAGAACTTACATAACTATAATATTTAATATGCTGAATTTTATGACATAACTAAATAATATGTGAAATTTTATGTTTTTATAATATTCAAATTACACTCACTGCTTATTTAGATACACATAAATACTTTCCCGGAACACTCTATCGGTAATTAGATACTGCAGCATACGCAATATTAATGGCGCTACAATTCATATGATACAATGTGATTTATCTTTTTTTATTTTTCAGAAACCGAATTAACCAAATACATTTTTTGTAATTTTTAAAATATTAATATACTAATCTCTCTCATGTGCTTTGGTATTAAAATTAAGAAATTTATAAAAAGTGAAATTGATTTATTTGACTTCTAAAAAGCTTATTTACATATATATTTTTGTATAATGATTTTGTCTCAACAAAGATAAATTTTTAATTATAATATGTTATATCATAGTAAAATCATTATATCGTTAAACTATAAATATATATTTGTCTATTATTAATGTCCCACATTCTCTCATAATATGTATATTTTAAAATTTACAAGCGACTTTTTAATTATATTTATTAAGTTTTACCTTTAATATAACGGGAAAAAAAAGAAAGAGAATTAATTTCGAAGGGATTAGTTTCCGTTATAAGAGGCTTCATGAAAGAAAGAGGGCTTCTGTCATAAGAGGCTTCATGAAAGAAAGAGTGTCCAAACGAAGAGATTCAAATTGAGCCTGAACAATAAATAAATCTAACATTTCGGGATTTCTATAATTCTAAAAAGGAAAATTTTAATAAAATTGAATATTTAGTCAAACGAAACATATATTAACAATATATAACGAAATGTATATTAACAATATATATTAATTGCTATTGTTAAAAATAACTTTGTTATTTATCAACATTACAAAGATATGGCAAAAATTTCCAAAAAATAATGTGTAGTGTTTGAAATATCATGTTTATTTGAACTCATTGAAAATGATTGTAACGAACTTATATGCCATTTTCTATCTACGTTTCTCTCTACGTTGCAGATTTTATAATAATTTAGAAATGTCAAACGACCAGCATACAGTTTAGACTTAAAAGATACGAAAAGAATTTCTAAACAGCTTAAGCAATTTTCATATGACATATTTAATGTTATAAATAGTTTAAGAATTATGACATATTTATTATAAATAGTTTAAGAATCATTTATTTTTTTTAAATCAAAGATTTTATCTATTTATGTAAAATAATATTGAGGAAACATAATGTCCGACATAAAAATATACATTAAAAGAAAAAGAAAATATTACTAAAATATATAAGAAAATTACCTCGATAGAATTGATGGCATCCATTGCAAACAATATAGTAAGGCCATCGATTAACCATAAGTGAGACGACCACAATGGATTGATTAAATTACCAAACCATTGATATATCATCTCACGTCCTATCAACTGCGCGACATTTATTTTATGCCCAACAGAATGTAGTTTTTCATCGTACAGAATATTTATTTCTCTAAAACATAAAGAAATAAAATTTGCAAATATTAAACATAAACTTGTGCAAATAATAATATTTTTAATATACTTTTTTATTTAAAACTGAAAAAATGTCATCTAAACGGATAACGCAATTGATATGATATAATCATATGTTGTTTTGCATATTGATTATATAAAAAATGTGATATATATATATAATCTATTAAAATTAACTTATAATTAATCCTAAAAATATATTAATATATTTATTATAATAATTCTACTTTCTAAACACATATTTTAACTTATATGAATTGAATATTAACTTTATGTATTTCTAATTTTGATTCTTACAAAAATTGTGTTTCAATGAAATAATATTTCTTTCTAAGTTTTATATTACCTATTTAACACTAATCCCCAGTTCTGATTGTCGTATAGCAAACCACAAATTGCGGTAAATTGAACTGTTGGAATCTGTAAGCTTCCCCATTTGTCTTTCAATTGTAACATTATTTCATGTGCAACCTTATGAGCATATTTAATATGATTGGATAGTTCAGGTCTAAACCATATAATGATATTACTTGTGTATAATGTTATATGTACTGCAGAATGATACGTGCGAAAATTATAAAGGGCAGTTATTGGCGTAATCACAAGCGTCACGATATGAGTGGACATTGCAGGAGTGATGTCAAAATATGTCCACAAATATGTTTCCGTTTTATATTGTTTATGTTTATGTATTTCCACTATTTGTATCGGCATATTTGAAAAAACTTTGTATTTACGATAATGTTTTATAGAAATATTGAAAGTGGCCATTATTGTCGGGTTGTCCCAGCATGGAAATAATCGTCGAGCACCAATCGCCTGAAAATGTGTTGCATCCGACCACCTACGACATTTTAATAATATTAATTCGATTTGATAACAATATGAATTGTTAATTATCAATGGCTTTAGACCGTTTTTAACATAGCGATTTAGAACTTTCTGATTCATTTTTTACCAACAGATAATGTAATTAATGGGCGTGAATAATGATGCTTTATATATATAGAGCATCATTATTCACGCCCATCAATTACATTATCTGTTGATAAAAAATGAATCAGAGAGTACTAAATTTCCAATACATAACAAAGCGGAAAATAAAATAAAATAAAATAAATAATTAAATAAATAATACTTATTTAATCACTGTCATTCATAAATCGCGCGTTTGCTAGTGCGAGCATAGCTACAAATTGTTCGGTACACCAATAGTATACGGTTTACACGTATATACGCCTGCTTAAAAAGTAATGCTTATTGGATAAGTCTTACTTAATAAGTTCTTTTGTATTATCTACTATGTATTACACAAAATGTACATTGCAAAAGTGCGTGCGCTATTGTTGCATTTAATAATTGATAAAAATAATTATAAACAAAATGATATTTTAATCCACAAATTGAAATAACAAAATTTTTAAAAATTTTTCATTGAAGATATCAAAATTAATTAAATAATATCATATATAAATTTTGTAACAAATTTATTCTCTTCACTCTTGTGCGCGTGCGTGAGTGCGTGCGTGTGTGTATGTGTGTATTTGTGTTATATACGCGCGCGCATTAAAGTACTGACCATGACACATTTTATATTTTATTTTACGCACACATGCCACAAAACAATATAAAATATAATCTATTGTATCTAAACCATTTAATTTTTGATAATAATATATATATATTTTAATTTAAATGTTTTTGTTTTTAATAATAACTAGAATTGATCAAAAATTGTGTAAAATGTTACAATGATATATTTAAGTGAGATATGTTATAAAGTTAAGATTATAAAACAGAGAGAAAATAGAAGATAAAAGAGTAGACATATCTTACAAATGATAAAAATTTATATTTGATAACAATACTAATAATACTCTAACGTATATTAGCATTTACTCACACGTATTGTCCAGATTCCTTTTGTAATACATCCTTTACAGGAATTATAATGTTTTCTGTGTTATTAATTGCATTGAGAAATTT